GTTTCCGGTTATTGCTCAAACCGCATCTCACAGTTTGCTTTCAATGTGATTCGACAGCACTGCTCAGAAATGTCGGAAAAGAAGTCTCTCAAGCGTAAGATTACCACTAAATCTTTGGAGGAGAAGTATAAAGCTCTCAAGGACATCGAGAGTGGCATAGCTGAGAAGAAAGTAGCGACAAAGTATAAAATTCCTTTAAACACTTTGTTCACGTGGGTGAAAAGCAAAGAGAAAATTTCAGCTGCTTTAGAGAATGGGAAAAGTCCCGAAACGATGAAGCGTAAAGGCGCAGGCTTTGACACTTTAGATAAAGCGATATACAAGTGGTTTATAAATGCAAGAGAGCAAAATGTTCCTGTCAGCGGTGCCTTGCTGAAGGAGAAGGCAATTCGCTTTGCAAGAGAGCTGCAGATTGAAGATTTTATGGGTTCTGATGGCTGGCTTGACTGTTGGAAAACAAGGCACAGAGTCACGTTTAAAATGATTGCGGGAGAAGCAAAATCATGTACCCCTCAAATGACCTCTTCGTGGGATGAGACAACTCTGCCAACCATTATCTCAAACTACAGGCTTGAGGATATTTACAACGCGGATGAATTTGGTTTGTTTTATCAAGCTCTACCCAATAAGACTTTGCATTTGAAGTCTGAGAAATGTGTGGGTGGGAAGCACAGCAAAAAAAGGCTTACTGTACTGGTATGGCTGCTGCAAATGCTGCGGGTGATAAGTTGCCGATGTTTGTCATTGGCAAATCTACAAGACCAAGGTGTTTTGCTGGCATTAGAAACCTACCCTGCTGATACCGATTGCAAAAAAAGAGTTGGATGGACCGCACTTTGTTCGAAGAGTGGGTCAGGGAGCTTGATAGAGCGTTTATGGGGGAAGGCAGAAAAGATGCACTTATCGTGGATAATTGCGCGGCCCACCCGCACATTGAAGGACTTAAGGCCATTCAGTTACTGTTTTTGCCTCCTAACACGACATCCGAGGCACCGCCAATTGACCAAGGCGTCAACAGGTCACTTAAAGCCCACTATAGAGCCCTCACAGTTCAGCTCTTCATCCGCGCCGTTGACAAAAACCAACCTTTGCCCAAAATAAGCATCCTGTCGGCAATGAATATGCTTACTGCAGCTGGGACAGTGTCAGAAACAACAGTTCAAAACTGCTTCAAAAGAGCTGGCATCTCGGAGTAGTCGCAGGAGCGTGGTGTGAATGGCACCAATGACCCTTTTAAAGAACTCACTGAAGAACTCGAAAACCTTAGAGAAAGAGCAAAAAGTAACGTACCAACGCAAGTTAATGCTGAAACCATGATTATTTGTGATGACGAGTTCCTAACAGCTGATACCGAGTTGCCGAGTGATAGTGATATTCTTGCTGAATTTCGACGAGATGAAAATGAGCTTGAAGAGGAGGATGAGGTTTTAATAGATGAGCCGCCCCCGAAACGTCCCTCAAAACACGAACTGTGCCACACCATGGGCGTGCTGCAGACATTCAGTTTATTTACCGAGGTTGAAACAGATTCATTCAAAACCAACCTTAGAAAGCTTTCAAGAATGATCGATAGCAACAGATTCGTCGAGAAGCGTCAGGGCACATTGACTGACTTTCACGAAAAAGTAAATCCCATGAACTTTATAGCAATGACTCGACATTGTTCTCTTTAGAACCTGTTAAGTTTGCAGTTCCTGGACTTCTGCTGCTGCTTTGTTTTGTTTTGTTTCACATTGCGTTACGTTCTGGTTTATACGAATTTAAGAAATGCATTGTTGTTCCAGTTTCACTCGGCTTTGGCAAATTAAATTTGATTAAAATGTACACTGCATGAATAGAGAAAGAAAATCGCATGAACTTTGAAAATGTAAATCGCATGAGGTTATTTGTACCAGTAGCCTGACATTGTTCTCTTAAAAAAAACCTGTATGGTTCACAGTTACTGGATTTCTCCCCGCTGCATTACTTTGTTATATTTTTCACATTACGTTACGTTCCAACTTATACCGTAATATAGAGATGTATTGTCTTTTTTTTCACTCGGCTTCTCTATACTGTAATCAAATTTGATTCAAATGTACACTGCGTGAAAAGAAAAACATTTAACACCTTTTTTTTCCCTTATTTCCGGTCACTTTTTCTCAACTCCCGATAACTCGAACTCCTGATAACTTGAACCTTTCTCAATTTCCCTTGAAGGTTCGAGTTATCGGGAGTCGACTGTAGTACTTTTGAATCGGACAGCTCAAGAGAGATTAAAAAGAAAATAAAAAATGTACATATATAAGCATATATCAGTTTAAGGTGACTGTTAAGATGTATCTCTAGCGTTTGCTTGTGTTGCTATGGATACAAACCTGATGCAATCTTGGCAATTCGCAAACACAATGTTTCTGCAGATCGAAAACCAGGATGGGAAGTTCCAGGGTAGTACTCAGAAAGTGGTGTTCCAAAAATATTACTACGGCCAGTAATTCCAAGATTTTGCTTAGCGAACTCCTGTGTTTTTCTTTGCTAGGGGCTTTTACTTTAAGTTGACTTTGGAATTTAGTCTCTCGAACTTCTGTCTTCAATGGTCCAAACTGGACATGTACATACTAGTTTCATATCTCCCAACTGACTTTGGTGTTCTGGGGCTTCAGGGATTGGGTAGAAGGATTTTGCAGAAGAATTACCCATTGAAGACCTCCTTTCCTTACCATCACCACAGCTCCTGCGGACAATTTTAATTTCCTTCCCACTTAATGGATGTTTAATTGTTTTCAGTTCTTTCAGCTGATCAAAAACTGCCCCTGCACATTTTTTCACTGTGTCATAATCATCACCTCCCAACCACAAAGCAACCGTCAACACTGTGCTCAGTAAATTATAAGGCTCAATAATCTTCACTCGGACACTGATCTCTCCAGTGAAATGGCGAGACCATTTCAGTCAGGGGAAACTATCAGTGTAATCCATAATAATAATAGTGTCATTTGGTGCTGTTATAGCACTTTGCACACCTGCTTGACGAAGAAAAAGTGTTATGTATTTTTCAACATCAACCCAGCCCACAACTACCTCGCCAAATTCGTTAAATTTTAGCCCAACCTTTTCAAGTGATTCTTGATGTGTATCACTGAGTTTACCGAAAATGTCATCCTTGCTGAGAATAGGGTTGATTCCCAGGACTTTTTCCAGCTTTTCGCCCCACTTGTTTCTTAAAACGTCCTGTGTGTCTTTTTGGTTAATGCCAAATTCGCCAACAACACCACAAGAAAAATCTTTGAAGGCAGGATAATAGGTTTTAAAAACCAATGGCATGAGGAATCCTCGAAAAAGGGATCCATTGTCTTGTTCCGACAACCATTCACAACAATTACTTTTGTTGTCGAGAACAAAGTCAATAAATTTCTGCTTTGGGTTTTGCAAGGTACAAGGTAAGGATATCCCTCAGTAAAAGAAAGTTACAAGTCCCGGAAAATGGAGACAAATTTGCTCTCTAAAAGTGACCAACTTCTGAAATACTTCCCCAGAGGAGGAGCTTCCTTGTAAAAAAAGTCAACAGGCGGCACAACTTTGGTGACTCTGGGAAGAGTGAATTCTGAAATTTCTTCATCAGTCAAATGTGACATTGGCTCTCAAACTCTTTTGTCTCCTCGAATAAGGCTGTTCTTTGCTTAAAAACGTCTCGCTTATCTCCTTTGTTGAAATTCGCTTGTGTGAATTTTTTAGAGATTCCGGTTTATGTGTCGGATACAGCGGAAAGTGCTCGTTTAAACTTTTTTTGGTTTTATAAAATTTTTCGCAGTTCGGAGATGGACTATGCAAGCGGATGAGTGTCTAAAGTTGAACAACATTTTCTTTTTCCTGTAGTACAAAAGCTATGCTCGGGCTGTACTGTATTTGCAATTTAGCGACCAAACATCAAAAGGGTTTTTAAATGGCATAGTTTGCAACACTGCTTTGAAAAAGCCGCCAAAAATGTGCCACCTGCAACAAAGTGGATGAGTTGAGCGAGCGTTTGATCAAACTCAACTTTCCTTGTGCTCGCTAACACAATCAGAATATTAAAAAAATCTGACTAAACAGCGACACACAAGAAACAACGATTAACACGATATCTTTAATACTACCTAAACATACAATAAATACCGTTAATAGAACATAAGAGTACAAAACAAGGTGAGAAATTATCTTCATGCTTACAAGTTGGAATCCATGATTCGAAACTGCACTTTTCACACATCTCTTTCTTTTGAGTTTAAAACCAACCTGCTGCCCCATGAGACTTTTCATCCGTTCATATAAATACTTCCTATATTTCTGGTACCATTTAGAGTTCTATACATGGTATAAGGTTGGAAAGAACTCAAAATTCTTTGATGAACGGTACTCGCACTACATTTGACCGACATGGTAGACAAAAACAAAACTTGCGAATGCACGCACACTGTTTCATGGGATACGGCATTAAATTTTTCTCCCCAGCCCACCGCAATGACGTCATCAGATCGCCTAGAAGTATGTATTTATCAAGTCACCATGTCCAACTGATAGACATTCTATTTAAAGCTACCTTAAATTTGGATTCAAGTTGCTCTTCGCCCAGACTGTGTGTAGACAATTGTTGTATTGACATTAAAGTTCTCGGTGCTGTCAATCATTTCTTCTTCTTCAGTCGACTCCTCTTCCTTTTCAGAGCTTGAAATACCAATCTCTGCAAGGACACAGTCTTCTTCTTCCTCTGAGTTGTCTTCTGATTCCCTTCTGAGTGAATCAGAAGATGACTGATTGTTGCTCTTCCCATCCTCCTCTCTCTCAATGCGTTTAGCAAGTTCTTGGATGATATTTTCTTTAATTGCTTCCAACTTTGCCTTTTTTGTTCCATATTTTCCAAGGTTATGGTGTGCTACATACTTATCTAACTCGACAACTTTTAATTGTGAAAGGCTCCTCTCATGAAACATTTCTTCCCAGTCATAGTCTTTGTATGTCTTTCTAGCTTCTTCACGTTGCGCAGCCTTATATTTTGATCTTTTTTCTTTCGTTACGGATAGAAGTTTCATGTGATTGACATACATCTTGATGGTGTCTTCAGTAACCAAGTATTTCCGCGAGAAATCTGTGATGTTGTCAGGATTGTCCAAAAAATGAGTTATCTTCTCTGAAAATTGCCTTAAGCTGAACCCTTGGGTGGAAATCATCACCACGTCAGCCAACAGTTGGGGTGTCTTTCATAGGAAGATAATGGAAACCAGGTCTTCGGGCATCGGGATATGGCTTGGGGATATGTTTTATGTCAGCAGAGCAGCAAAAGTCATTGGAAACACAATATTCATACCTTTCACTCTTTTCCTTTTCGCAAGATCCTTTTAAAAACTTCATGTACATTTCTCCACTCTCACTGTTCTCACTATGATGCAGAATGTGGGGTTGAGAGGCTTGAGAAGAGAATTGATGTTGTTATGGACCCTAACAATCCTGCTGTTGCAGGCAAATATTTCAGTGAAGATTACGTATTTACGGGCTCTGACCTACGTATATTGGAAAACAACTTAAAAATGGTTCAAAATATTAAGACGTCCATCCAGAAGCAGGAGGAAGATGCAAAAAAACATCTTTGTACTCATTTCTCCAAAGCAGGGAAACTGCTTCCAGGGCACAAGCACCCAAAAACATTTGATGAAAAACTTATTGGCAAACTTATAAAAGTTAAAGAATGGGTGATAGAAATAGAAGAAAGCCTTAAGGAAAAGTTAGAGAAGACATCAAATATGTTCCAATATGCCCCCCATTTGAATGCAAAAACCAAAAAGCATTCTCAGAAAGAGAACCAAAGGAAAGCCAAAAGAAGGAAAGTTTCGAGAAAAGCTGCCAACGTACAGAAAGTGCGAGAGTTTATTTCGAATGCTTCTGCATCTGAAGTAATTCAAATCCAAAACCTAAAATTGGAAGCTCTATCTACATTATCATTGTGTCAAGTAAAATATCAACAACTTATGTCTGAAGATAGACAACTGTCTACTGAAGCTGTAAACTTGATTAGTGAATATGTAGACAATTTTCCAAGAAAACACTAACCTAGCACCAGATAATACCCTTGATGATGACAGTAATAATGATGATGATGATGATAAAGACGACGATGATATTGATGATGATGCAGACAATGATGACAATGGTGATAATGGCAATGATGATTATTAAATGCTGAGGACAACAACAATGATGATGGTGCTGGTTATGTTTACAGTAGAATTAATTTGTAAGTGTTAATTAAAGTTGTTGTATAAAGCTATTTTAATAGGCTGTATTTGTTGATGGCATCCAGATGCAGCTTTTAACATTTTTGCTGGCAAAACGTTTGCATATTTTTTAATGGCCCCTCCTTTAAGCCAAGCATAAAAAATGGTGGCCCACCCCCTATTTGCACCAGTTCGCTCTCCTGATAAATAATGACCAGTCCCTTATTACAAAGTGTTCATTTTCGCCATTATCGTTCGAGCATTCCAGTAGGCCAGTTTCATTGGGCTGCTACTCCAATGCCTGTTTTTGTTATTGTAGATGACTATACTTTTAAGTACTGAAACCAACTTAGTTTATTGGTTTTCCTTCTCGAGAGGTCGGCTCGTGTCTTGGTGGGGTTGCCACATTCTTGTGGCTTGTGGAGGATTTTTGTCCCCATCTTGCCTGAAGAGATGTTAATTAGTTAATTTTATCATTGGTGTCAATTAAAAACATCACGCTTGTGGCCATTTATCCCAAACAGTTGAGATTCTTGCTCGGGTCATGCGGAGATCTCGATTGTTTTCTTAAATTCAGTTTGGGAAGACTCGTAATAAAAACAAACATGATGAAAAGATGGAATCATAATGTCATTGTACTTCGAGGCATTTCCCATGGCGGGGCCAAACCATCCCTCAAAGGGCTTATCAAGGACGTGCAATGTTGTTCGGGTAAAATCCAATATGGCGGCCCGTTTACGATTTTCTCAAGTCCTTCAACAACCAATTCAGCGTTGTAAACGGGATATTTTAAAAAGTGCTAAAAATGGTGATGATATAGGATGGGTTAGTAATTTTTTCAGAGAGCTTGAGGATGCTGTAGCTGTGTTCAATAGAAAATACGGTGATCACGAAGGAAGATTTTCAAAGGTGCAAAGACTGATGTCATCGAGAAGAATTGTTGCTAGATCCCTAAGGAAGATGCATGGCAAAGTTATTCGTCGGCTGCACACAAGACCTAGACTTGCCAATCCATGGCATGGGGAACTTAAAATGGATATACCGCTGGAGTTGTTTGAAAGTATTTCTCAAGACATATTGCAGCGCACAAGCTTTGGCCAACGCTACAGGGAAACGAATACTGAGATCATCTTTGAGATATCAGATCTACGAAAAGCAAAGTATCTATTCGGAGAATGGATTTGGATGGCTTTGAGGTCGACCCTGCTGATATTTTAAAAAAGCGTATGTCAACTTCAAGTAATAACCTTGAGAGATCTGAGGTATTGGCTTCAACTGACAAGCCCATGGAGCTTAAATTTCACAAGACAAAAGAATTATTGGAAGTCAGTTTTCATTATGGATACTGGAATCCAAGCAGCATCCCACAGCACTGAATAAAGCGGAGTTGACACTAAACTTTTTTATTTCCTTTATTGTGTTGAACCCTTTAAGCCCCAATATCAACATTCAAATTCTCCAGACTTGTCTGTATATGTTGTGGTTCAATTTTACCCTTGGTTTAAATGTTATTTTCTTTCGTTTTGGGGTATGGTAATCTATGATATATGATATGAATTCTCACAACTATTTCTCTTGATTGTGCTATGATATTAGTAACTGGGCTTGTCATAGGCTGGCCTAGTTTATAAAATACCTTCGATTTCTCTCCGGAGGTGTGTCCTTAGCGATTTGTGGTGGGGATGTGTCAACTCATTCCCTAAATCCTGACTGTGTACTCTATTTCAGATTAATATCTATAAGGCAAATGTGAGCAAGAACCCACCAGAAGTTTGGCATATTTGTGTGCTCCGTAAACGGTCTCTATCAATGATTAATCAAGTAATCTGGGGACATATTTCTGGGAATTATTAGTGGGGTGTGTTGTTCGGTTGGCCAAATCTTTACTCTAGATTTTAAATCAGGTCAATACCTTTAAGGCAAATGTAAGGGAGTACTCCCCTCAGAGAATTTCGTTATCATGACAATAAACACAATCAATTATTAACTTGGTAATAATTATCAATAATTATTGCAGTGACTGTTGAATTCTAAAACAAATTTTCCATGCAGATTACTGATTTACTAACTGTTCGATTCATAGTAACTAATAATTGCATGTATTGCATTCATTTCTTGTTTGTAAAGAAACTGAGAAACATAACAATAGCTGAGGATGGTCTTGTGACTTACCTCATGGCAGAGCCAGCTGTTATTTAGCCTCCACCACTTTCTCCTTCCTAGTGATTTCCATTTTAGAGTTTGTCCTTGCAATGCTAGGTTTCCTGTGGGTAATGTCATGGTTACCACAATCTTAGAATTTTCTGCAAGCACTTGATATTTTTATAATCCATTTGCCAGACAATGGCAAAAAGACCCAATTACAGTCATGATGTATCATGTTATTGTTTAAATTTGTAATAATTTATTTTATTGGGAGATTTCAACAAGAGATGTAGTTATGACCAGGCTGATTACTGAAGTTTATGCCCACTTAGGGGTCTACAGTCTAATAAGGCCACCCTTCCGATATCACAGCAAGCTGGTTAAACTCCATACAAATTTCAAGAAGAAATGTTACAATTTAATTTGCATTAGGGTACTGAAATGCTTTTGGAATCAGTCAACATTGAAACCGGAACAGTTTGTTTTTGTTTTTTGTATTTTTTTTTTTATGGATTGGGTGCAATTCAATTCAGTGTTTTACCAGTAAATGCATTATATACCTCTTTCTCTTGACTTCTCAAACTCATTAATAATTCATCAAGAAAATACAAAGGAAATTAATGTGTAATGGGCGTTTGGATATGGCAATGAAACACAGCTCTGTTTTGCATTTCTAATTTCTCGGTCAAAAATCGTTTCTTTTCCTAAGCAATATGAAATATTCGACACAGTGATTCATCACCAGATCAAACCCCTTCATTCGTTAAAAATACTCCGCTACGTTCTTTTCTCGGTGTTTGATCTGGTGATGAAACACAGTGTCTCATATTTGATAGGTTACTATTAAGTATATTACTGGTTGTTTTAGCCTTAATGTCAAGTGTTCATGTAGCTTAATGGCTTTGCTTTACCATCAGCCACACTTCTTTCACTGGTTGCATTATGTTACTGCTACAAATGGTGCATGCATCATCAGACCTCGATTTCTGCAGACCACAAAAGCAGTACAAAGGATTTTGTGTGGCAACCCTCTTGGGCACATAGGAATCACTTACTTCACCTTCCTCACAGCGGTAAGTGACACTGTAAGGGTCTAGCTCTCTCAACCATACCAGTGAAATGTACTCATGTCGAAATACTGTCCACCACCTCTGGTTTTTGTCAACATTGCAGGTATTTTCCACATAACGGGCCAGTTTTATGTGTTTCACCTCTCGCCCTTGCATTGTGTTCAAACCAAGTCCATACCCACTTTCCTTGAACAGTTGCTCAACATGGTAGGGTATTGCATACCCTATTATCCAGGTTGTAGGATTTGCCCCATCATGAAATATGCACTGGGTTGTGAAATACTCATTGCAACAGGTTTTCATTTCTCCCAGCTGTTCTTCTTGTAGCCTTACCCTGCTGTACAAAGCTGCAGCTTCCCTTAATTGCAAAGCCTGAAATGCCATTGCATGAGGTTTGACTTCTGAGGAGTTGGTAAGGTTAGGGATACTCAGAAGTTCATGGATCAGAAGACAAAAGTTCCAACTAAATTTTTTTGACTCCAAACCAGTAAATCTCTATGAAAATGTCAGCCCTTTTTTTCTCTTCTCAGAGAACCATCGAGCAAAACTGTTGAACAGTCGAACATACTTCAGGCTTTCTTTAACACACTTGCAGAATTTTATAAGAACACAAGAACTTGGAAGTTCTGATAACAGAGTTGCAGCATTTAACTGATTACATGGAGTATACTGAATAGCCACGCTCAAGATGGCTGACCACTGCTGCCATGCGTTATTGGTGTTATGCAAGGGCTCAGGTTTGATGATGTCTACATATTTTCCAAGAGGGGGAAGAAACTCCTGTCTTGACTTGTTTTGAGAGATAAACTTTGCTACTTTACTCCTTTGCTTTCCACGTGGATCTTGTAAACTCTTCTTGAAATCCTCTACTTTTTTCGCGACTTTTAACGTGGTTGCCAGGTAGTATGGTTACCACCTATAGAGCCACCAATAGTGTTCTTGTTTGTCTGATTCACATTTGCAAAGGGTGAAAAATCTGTCGCTGCATTGTTTAATTCTCCAGAAAAGGTTGAAATCCACTTCATATGTGAGGGAATTAACTTAAATCTGAACTTTACCTGGTCACCCTTGGGAGTTGTACAGCTTTTATTCTCTAATTTTTCCATTTCTTGGGTGAGAAGCTTTGTGTAACCTTTCATCAGAGGATGTTCTTCAACACAATTTGCTCCTAAAAGCAAATGATTTTCATTGCAGCTCTGAACCCTGTTTAGTAAATTTAAGAAGCTCACCAGGTATGCTGTTGAAACAAAATGTGCTTAATACAAAATTTGTCAGGTTATATAGGAATTATAGAAACATTTTTGTCTCTAAAATACAGATAATCTGTCAATTTTTATGCATGCTTTATTTTTAACTTGGACAATGTTTTTACGCCATATATTTACTGAGGAAACATAAGTTTCATGCTAGTGGCACATAAAAAAATTAATAACTAATTCACACCTGGACTTAAAATTAGAAAATAGTCCATCTAATATCTGGGAGGGCAATTGGGCAGTTCAGTTATTTTTTTAAGACCCTATTTATTTTCTTCATGGCATGAAATTAATGAGTGCAAGTCACAGTTGAGTCACTGGGTACCAAAAGTATTATATTGTATTATGAAAACAAACAAAAAACTGTCAACTAGTTATCACTAACTACAGTCTCAGTCAAAATGGTTGGGACAGTTTGGGGTCTCCTTGTCCCCTCAATGTTGGTGCCCAAGAGTTGGTGACCAAACCGCAATAAACAACTTTGAGAGGTACGAGGGGAGCATGAGAAGGAAAAAACAGCGTTTGCTTAAAGTGTCCCAACTATTTTATCTGAGACTTTGTCGGGGAGGAATTTGAAGGTGTGCTGACAGATCCGGAGGTTAATCTGTAGGTCGGTCATAAGCGATGGGCTTTTGGTTTATTGGGCGTCCATTGTGTTTCGCGAACGTTTCTATAGCAGTGAACTAAGTTGATTGGGCATAACAAAATAACACAAAGAATGACCAGTTCGCAGAAATTTCTTGGGAAGAGTAGAGTATTGGAAAATAAAAGGAACGGAGTGTGCACTAAACCGTACACAAATAGCTTTTAAGTGGCTGATTGATAGCGTTACAATATAGCATGTGCATACTATCTGCGTAAGATTTGGGGTTTTCACATACAGAGAGTCACTCGAATGTGCCACATTTCTAGAGAAAATGTGGGGAGAATAATAGAGAAGGCCTCTTTGCCAAGAAAGAGTGTAGGAACAAGGCCCCAAGGGACACCTTTCTAAGTTAAGGGCAAGAGGCGAAAGACAGCTGAAAGAGCGATTAAGCGATCTCGAGAGAAAGGGGGAAACTTTTCCTCCAGGGTGGAGGAAAATGCAACAAGCCAGGATTATTCCCAAGACGTATCAGCGAGAACAGTATCCCGCTTTCTAAATTTCTAAAGATACTATTGACTAAAAGCTTGTAAAAAGGGTGTCAGCTGCAATAGTGTAACTGTTTGGTCCGACGCCAAAATGTTTGTTAATGATATTCCAGGCTACTGCTGTAAAATCAACAACTTTTTATAAGTTGCTTACAACGTATGTTAATTTGGCCTTGCGCCAAATGGTGACATCGGTTCTCATTCTTTACGCCAAATATACACCTTCCTGAATAGCTCTAAAACAAACTACTGTGCCATAAATGTGGGAATTGAGGTACAAAACATGCATCATATCAAACGAGGACACCTATCCTTAAAACATCTAAAAAAGCGCTATACTTGACGTGTACACGGGTCACCGTACATTAATTCAATTAAGATATTTATAAGTTTCTTTCAGCGAACATTCGTGTCACCATGATCGAAGTCTTAATAACTTGTCTTACATGCCTTGGCTATTTCAATTAGGTGTGAAAGAACCTTATCCTTTTCTTTCTTAATCCATTATATATACCACAGAGGTCTTAGAAAACGCCCTGGATACTATGGTGACCCGTTGTGGTGACCCGTTCAATCGTGTCTCCACCGGTCCAATATATTAGCGGCAAGATACACAGCCTGTGAAATAATGCGCGTAGTTTTGACTCATCCATTGTTCACCCTTTAAACCCAATACGTACCAAGCTTTTTTAATACCTTGGAATGTTGTAATTAAAGAAACAAAGACTTCTTTCCTGTATTGATTGTCTTCTCTCTTTCTGCCCATGAAATCTCTTATGTTTTTCCCAAAAAAATGGCTCTGAAACGTGTATATACCTGCCTAGCAATTTCACGTCACTAGAGCCAACGAGGAGTCACATACCTAAAATTCCTCTAAAGCACAGTCTCAGTCAAAATGGTTGGGACAGTTTAGGGTCTCCTTGTCCCATTAATGTTGGTGCACAAGATTTGGTGACCGAACCGCGATAAGCAACTTTGAAAGGGACGAGGGGAGCACGAGAAGGAAAAAACAGCATTTGGTTAAAGTGTGCCAACTATTTTTGTCTAAGACAGTAGCTACTCTAAACAAAAAGCTGTCACTTAACCTACTACAGCTAGTTATTATAAAAATAAAACAGAGAACTGTCATAACCTGTAAAACTACATGTTATGTCTACTCTGTAGCTCACTACTTTAACTATCTAACTAACAGGTAGCTGAATCATCTTTGCCGAATGGGGCACAACAGCTACCCAGAATACTCTCTCCTCTTCATTAAACCAATGAAGCAATGTGCTGGCATGATAAGTGTCTTGCTGTTTTTTCGAATACTTGTATATTTTCTCTTCCCAAGAAGTCGATTTTCATACAAAACACGCATATTGCGAATTTGATTTTTCTGGCTTTTTCATAGTCATTGAGCTTGTTTTCCAGAATTTTTGGCAATACCAACTCCATACACTTAGTGGAATTTTCGATATATTCTTTCATCTCCCCTTCTGTTGCTGAATTGATCAAAGTTGTCCAAAGACCATCATTTACTGCTTTAACATTTTCCCTCTCTGGAATGAAAAGATGACTTCCGCAATGAATAGGTCTTAAAGCCCGCTGTGTTTTCTTCATCCTAACACGAAACTGAGCCTTTGACAGGCTTAATTTTTTATTATCACTTCCTAATATTTTACTGGAAACTAAAGGCCACCTTGCTACTTTTGCTGGTGGTGCACCTCCAAAGTCATCCCGAGTCTCACTGATCTGAATCTAAAGGACATTTTTAAAGAAAACATCATCCTATACTAATTATGTTAATAACTCTAAATATTGTATAGATTTAGCCAGGGCTAAAAGCGAAGCTCCCTTTAATAAGATCATAATTTAAATCAAACAATAAACTTGTAATCCACAGATGTGACTTTTGAGGCAAAGGCTAAGTGATTTTAGAGAAAAATAATTTGACAGTCCAAGACTGAAACAAATTTTACATCAAGTTAATAGTCTTATTTATACACCCAAAAATAGCAATCATGTTCGATCACAGTAGATTAGGCCTGGAAAGAGTATTGTATTTGCATTAGCTGTTGCATCATAATGTGGCATTCACCAGTCTCTCCAACACAGCTCTGTTTGAGAGATTAATAATGGGACAACCCCGAAATATAATACTATGAAGGAACGGTGAAGCAGACTATTTTTCCCGAAACTTTGTGTACACATTAAGGACAACAACAACTTGCCACATGGTAAGTTTCATCGATTTTAATTTCCATTTTCTAGCAAATTTCCAGACCTAAACTTCGCCCCATATGTTCTCTATATTTAACCATGTTATGAAATCCGAACGTGACACTAACAGTGAGCCTGGGTTACCTGTGATCAAAGCACGCGCTTCCTTTGCACAACAAATTATAGCATTGACCACATTATAAAACGTTTTCATGAAGAGAATTCCATTATGCCAGGACTTTTCAGTTAGAAACATCTGGTTCTATGTTCAGGGTAATAATTATGGGATTTTAGCGAAAAAGATAAAAAAATTCCCAAAATCACCTTTTCGGCCAGCCAGATGGGTTCTCACTTTTGACAGGTACCAAATTTGCAGTGCGATTAATAGAGTTACCATTTACCCTTCAACATGATAGAGAATTTGTTATGTTCAGGTTTTATTTCCCTTTATCTATAAAACTGTTTATGGTTTTGTTATGGGTAATCTTTAAAAGCAAGTGATAATTTACGCGCAGCATTTTGAGTATTCCTGCAAGCGATGTTTATGTTAGACTGGAAACAACCGGTGCAGCAATAAAAATTGCGAGAGGGACTACTAACAATCAATAAAATAAATATAATTCGGTAAAACATGTACAGAGACAATAATTTTCATTCACGAAGACAAGTATTGAGAGTAAAGTGTCTCTGAAAATCATGAGTCAGGTAAGCATAAGCTTAGTTATGTTTTAAGCCGGCTTCCCAGTGTTTGCTCTTTTTCAATATGAACTCAAGGCAAGAAAATCGCTCAGAGCTTTCTGTTTACAACCAAAATCAGAACTAAATATTCTTCGGGACCTTTTCTTTTCTTTTCTTTGATACTATTGTAGGGTAGATCATTGCTTGTGTATAAATTTAAGCTGCATAAACCATACGCTCGACTTCAGGAAACTGAAAAAAGAAACACATCAAAGACAATAATTGCTCACGCTTACCAGCCAAGATGCAGCTTCTGAAGGTCATCAAGTGTCCCAGAATTGCTCTAGACTTTTCAACCCTCTTATGCCTCAAGCAAATGCAAGTGAGTAACCTCATTTTTGAAAACGATGCCATCCGAAATCGGATTTCCAATGCCACAAGCTGTGCATCTGCCAACAAAAAGCACAATAAACAAACCAGCCATGAATTACAGAACAATCTTGATAGCAGCTGTATTTCATTTTGTACATCAAGTGGAAAAAGACAGTTTGAGGTGGCTCGATACAGTTTTTCAGGGGCATAAACTACGTTGCCATAAACAAAGTTTTGGAAAAATTGCCACCACAGTTGTATTAGATAAAGATGAAAATTTGTTGTGATCGGGTTGCAATGACATCGGAGTTGTCATAGCAACAAAATGACGCTATTACGTATTTTACTTAGAGTGCTGGGTTAAGATAACCCAGGGTTAGTGCGAGATTTGAATTCAGATTTGAGAGCTTAAAAAGCATTTCAGTTATAATTCTTCTTGTCTACAAGTTAATGATTGGAAGCTCTAAAAATAGCAGAGAAAATTATCCGCAAAAATGCTGTTGAACACAAGAAAAACAAACACGGGTTAAATTTAACCCTGGGTTAAGCGCTAATCGGCCTTCGAACAACTGGGCCAAGAAGTCTTTCTCGGCACT